TGATATCACACCAAACCTGTCTCCTGAAGCCCACATAAAGAGAATAACGTCTGCGGCATATGCGAGGCTGGCTAACATCAGAACGGCGTTCAGGAACCTGTGTAAGGAATCATTCAGAATCTTGTACACCACATATGTAAGACCAATCCTGGAGTATGCGGCCCCAGCATGGAGCCCGTACCTTGTCAAGCACAAGACGAAGCTGGAAAAAGTCCAAAGGTATGCTACTAGACTAGTCCCAGAACTAAGAGGCATGAGTTATGAGGAAAGGCTGCGGGAAATGCACCTCACGACACTGGAAGACAGAAGAGTAAGGGGGACATGATCACAACCTACAAAATCCTCAGGGGAATCGACCGGGTAAACAAGGACGAACTTTTCAACACTGGTGGGACGCGAACAAGGGGACACAGGTGGAAGCTGAGTACCCAAATGAGCCACAGAGACGTTAGAAAGAACTTTTTCAGTGTCAGAGTAGTTAGCAAATGGAATGCATTAGGAAGTGATGTGGTGGAGGCTGACTCCATTCACAGTTTCAAATGTAGATATGATAGAGCCCAATAGGCTCAGGAATCTGTATACCAGTTGATTGACGGTTGAGAGGCGGGACCAAAGAGCCAGAGCTCAACCCCCGCAAGCACAATTAGGTGAGTACACACACACCACACAGGCACACACACACACACACACACACACACACACACACACACACACACACACACACACACACACACACACAGGCACCTGTAGCTGGACCAATGACACCCCCGCAAAACAGTGGTCGTGTTAATACTGTCTTAATAGCGGAAATTAAAATATAAATGTCAGCAATCAAGAGGATGAAACACGCGTGGGAGTGTGTGTGTGTGTGTGTGTGTGTGTGTGTGTGTGTGTGTGTGTGTGTGTGTGTGTGTGTGTGTGTGTGTGTGTGTGTGTGTGTGTGTGTGTGTGTGTGTGTGTGTGTTCTCATCACGACCCAAACAGATCATAAATGATTCTTGCGCGAAACCTCTCTTTTTATATTTCTCATCTTCCTCTTCACTTGAGAACGTGCAAAAATTCTCTCTCTCTCTCAAAAGTTAATTTTACACTCGAGGACCATTAAAAGTGCAAAATGAACTTTTAGAAAATAAAATCTTCAGCTTCTCAGACGAAGGTAGACGTAAGAAATCTTCATCAACACCTACTTCCAAAATATACTGACATTCAGTATACTTGACTGCATATTCTATATATGTGGTTTCCGGTTTGATATTTTAATTTTTACCATAGCACAGGCGACAGAACTTATCTTTCTTTGAATATGTGTTCTGTGGCGCACTTACTGATTTACATCGGTTTGGAGGTGTGCTGTGACCAATATATAGTGTCTACTCACACATCATAATTCCTGGCGGTGTCTGTAAAGGATGATACGGTACTATACACGCATGTATACACGGGTATGTTTTCCCCCCTTTTGTATGTTAGTGCGTGTATATCTGGGAGAGTATACAGGCACTTGCCTACGGTTTTCTCCAAGCATTTGCCTATGCTTTGCCCACTCTTAGAAAACGTAAAAGCGGAAAGTGCAGACGTCACCTCCATCTGTGCCTAGGCGCATATCTGGAGCACACTTGGAGCATACCTGGAGCATACCTGGTGCATACCTGGTGCATACCTGGTGCATACCTGGTGCATACCTGGTGCATACCTGGTGCATATCTGTAGGTGGTGACCTTAGTAACCATCGACCTCCGTTACACTCTACGCATTACACCACACCACGTCAAAACTCTGGCTTCTCCTTGACAGCACCTTCAAACTGTTATGTATAATATCAGCAATTACAGTCATTCCCCCTCGCTCTCTGCTAGCCACTACAAACTGGCCACTCCGGGATTCCATTATGCATACCAAAGCAGGGGCTCCAAATACATTAATTTCAACACTTTGATGTTATTATTGTGTGTGTGTATACTTTTTCGTATCAAGGGGCCATCTAAGAGCCTCAATTATCGCCCCCCCCACCACCCTTACCGACAGCGCTGTTAAGGAAATATTTTGTAACGATGCCATTGCTGAAATCCTGGAAGAACAGATGAACGACCTGAGGATAGAAGGAAGATTTGGTTTTGTTGATAACTTACGGTGCTTTACACCTCTTTACACCTCCCCACACAAGGAGGAGTGACTTACCCACTTGCCTTGCCTCAGGCTTACCCATTTCCTAAGGTGCGTATCTCCTTTCACCCCCCTTCCCGAAGTAACGCAATCGTTGACCAATCCACACACTAGAAAAATGAAGGGACGACGACGGCGTTACGGTCCGTCCTGGACCATTCTCACAATCGACTTGAGAATGGTCCAGGACGGACCGAAACGTCGTCGTCCCTTCACCTTCTAGTGTGTGGTCTGGTCAACATACTTCAGCCACGTTATTGTGACTTATCGCCTGCTTACGCAATCGTGCCAAACGCCTGAAACCAATATGAGAGTGAATGTGTTTAACCTCTTCGTAAAAAGACAACCTAATGGGACGAATCGCCTATCCAGCTAGGGGCTCGGTGGTACTAGCAGCCACAAGACAATTCAGAATCATTGGAGTGATCCCAGAAGAGCAATTAGGAGATTTCAATAAGATTCGTGATCCAAGTTCACTGAAGAAGTCAGGCAGTGGGACATTCTTGCCGGTGATTCTCCTCGATTAACTTTCCCTAAACGATTGTAAATAAACGTAGTGGGATAGCTCTATTGTAGGTAATATTGCCTTGGCGATGCCGGAGACGTTGAGGCAATATTCATACCCCCTCCCACCGGGAGGGGGGGGGGGGGCATGAATACTCATACCCCCCTTCCAACGTGGGGCATGAATATTCATACCCCCTCCCACCTCGGGGCACGAATATTCATACCCCCCTCCCACCTTGGGGCACGAATATTCATACCCCCTCCCACCTTGGGGCACGAATATTCATACCCTCCTCCCACCTTGGGGCACGAATATTCATACAACCTCCCACCTTGGGGCACGAATATTCATACCCCCTCCCACCTTGGGGCACGAATATTCATACCCCCTCCCACCGTGGGGCACGAATATTCATACCCCCTCCCACCGTGGGGCACGAATATTCATACCCCCTCCCACCTTGGGGCACGAATATTCATACCCCCTCCCACCTCGGGGCACGAATATTCATACCCCCCTCCCACCTTGGGGCACGAATATTCATACCCCCCTCCCACCTTGGGGCACGAATATTCATACCCCCTCCCACCTTGGGGCACGAATATTCATACCCCGTCCCACCGTGGGGCACGAATATCGGGGGTATGACAATACTCACACTTCTACACTCCTCACGTTACATCGAGCCGTTAATTTATTTAAACCCCCTAAATGTCCCGAAATGAAGATCAACGTTTCCAATATTTATCTCCTCCAACTGGGCGAATGGAAGGCAAAGTGGTGAACGAATCAACCGATTTCAATACCAATTAGCTGGGCTATCTACCAATTACAGTACCAAAGGGGGGGGGGGGGTAGTCATCAACCAAGCCTAGCACCAATTGGACCGGGAATCAATTATAACTCGAATTTGAATGCTTTATTATTTATTTATTTATTTATCTATTTATTTATTATTATTCACAAGGAAATCATGTTAATGTGATGTATCATCGAGAAAATCAATTGGACCCTATGAGAGGATTCGAATCCCCACGAACCGGGTACGATAACTTTGTTTCATGTCGTGGTTCAGATGGGGGTAAGGTGCTCGGCTTGGGTGTATAACCTGGTCGACGATTCGAATCCCTTGCATTCCTCAAATTGACTTTCTCATTATTATTGAGCTGACATACAGATAGAAACAGATTTGCTTGTACAGCTTGTTCAAGATAATTTAGAGTTACGTAGTTCCATTTCACACATTATATATTTTTAAATACCTATTACAAACCCAAATTTCAATGTCAAACAAAATTTCTTTAATGTTCTATATAAATTAGTTTTTCAGTAACCTCCCCCCCCCCCCCTCAAAAAAAAGAGGAAACATTTTTCATTCATTAAAAAGCCTTATTCCAATGCATTATTTCAAAATCTATTATCAATTAGCTTAACCACAACATCGATACCCATTAGAGCTTCCCATTTTCCCTGCCCGCCAGCAAATTGTGGCGCTTGGCCCACAGGTAAACTAGGGTCGCCTTGTAATTGGTCCAACCATTAGCAGGGCTTACCTGTTATATACGAGCGAGGCAAGGGAGACTTTGTTGAGTTGAGCTCGTCTTGGGTCAAAGTTGAGCTCGTCTTGGGTCAATGTTGAGCTCGTCTTGGGTCAATGTTGAGCTCGTCTTGGGTCAAAGTTGAGCTCGTCTGGGGTCAGAGTTGAGCTCGTCTTGGATCAGTTGAGCTCGTCTTGGGTCAGAGTTGAGCTCGTCTTGGGTCAGAGTTGAGCTCGTCTTGGATCAGAGTTGAGCTCGTCTTGGGTCAAAGCTAAGATTTTATAACACTGGACAGCTCAACCTTCCCTCTTCCCCTATTGCCACAACATTGACCACAACCAAACACTAATAACCTAACCTTAACCCCGCAACAACATCACTGAATACTTCCCCCACAACCCAAAACTGTCCTCCCACAACCTCCTCCATGCACTCCAAACATCGTCCCTAAGCCCCAAACCTGTCGTCCCACAACCCAATCTTTAAACGTCGTCCCTAAGCCCCCAAACCTGTCGTCCATAGCCCCAACATACACACACACTACAAAATGAGTCTTCCCTCGACAAAACGCATACGCGTCCACCCACCATCGACACGAGGCGGTAATTAAGCACTCGAGGGATGGGGGGTCATCCAACCGTCGAGCAATTACTGCTTACGATATCACCGAAGAGCTTGACTTCGTAGGAGGGGATCCGACAGTCCTCCCTCTCCTCTGTACCTTGAGCCACGTCCCATTTGCAAAGGCAAAAGGGACCTCTCCTTCGCCCCCTTTTGCGGTACGCGTAAGGATGGGGTGCGTTCTTCTCGACTTCGAAGGGTCCTCGACGTCGAAGGGTCCTCGACGTCGAAGGCTCCTCGACGTCGAAGGCTCCTCGACGTCGAAGGCTCCTCGACGTCGAAGGCTCCTCGACGTCGAAGGCTCCTCGACGTCGAAGGCTCCTCGACGTCGAAGGCTCCTCCACGTCGAAGGCTCCTCGACGTCGAAGGCTCCTCCACGTCGAAGGCTCCTCCACGTCGAAGGCTCCTCCACGTCGAAGGCTCCTCGACGTCGAAGGCTCCTCGACGTCGAAGGCTCCTCGACGTCGAAGGCTCCTCCACGTCGAAGGCTCCTCGACGTCGAAGGCTCCTCCACGTCGAAGGCTCCTCCACGTCGAAGGCTCCTCCACGTCGAAGGCTCCTCCACGTCGAAGGCTCCTCCACGTCGAAGGCTCCTCGACGTCGAAGGCTCCTCCACGTCGAAGGCTCCTCGACGTCGAAGGCTCCTCGACGTCGAAGGCTCCTCGACGTCGAAGGCTCCTCGACGTCGAAGGCTCCTCGACGTCGAAGGCTCCTCCACGTCGAAGGCTCCTCGACGTCGAAGGCTCCTCGACGTCGAAGGCTCCTCGACGTCGAAGGCTCCTCGACGTCGAAGGCTCCTCCACGTCGAAGGCTCCTCGACGTCGAAGGCTCCTCGACGTCGAAGGCTCCTCGACGTCGAAGGGAATGTTTTGGGTTTCATTTTTGGGTTGGAGAGTTGAACGCGTCTGAAAGTGTTTTTAAATATATAATCGTTAACTCTTGAACGGAAACCACAGGTTTATGCTAGATGAAAGATGGGAGAGTGAAGGGTAGGGAGGGAGAGTGAAGGAGGGGGAGGGAGAGTGAAAGGGGGGGGGGGAGAGTGAAGGGGGAGACGGTGAGAGGGAGGAGGAGGAGGCAGTGATGGCGCTAAAGGTGAGAGTGGCAGGCGTTGGTACGCACTGTCTGCACCCTGCCAACGCTCGCTGCAAGATCCAAGCACTCCCGCTTCCCTCCCTCCGAGTGTGTGTGTGTGTGAGTGTGTGCTTGAGTGCGAGTGTGTTTGAGTGTCAATGTGGGTGTGAGTGCGTTACCTGCAGGGCAGTAACGAGGGTGGTGGCGAGGTTTGAGGCTGGAAAGGTCAGGTTGACGACGATGGGGAAGGAAACATGCTAAAAAGCAGAGAGAGAGAGAGAGAGAGAGAGAGAGAGAGAGAGAGAGAGAGAGAGAGAGGAGAGAGAGAGAGAGAGAGAGAGGGAGAGGAGAGAGAGAGAGAGAGAGAGAGAGAGAGAGAGAGAGAGAGAGAGAGAGAGAGAGAGAGAGAGAGAGAGAAAAAATACATATATCATTACATCTGATTCGGCTTCAACGGAAGCCTCAGCAACCCTCGTGAATTCAGTAGAATCCCAGGTTGCAATCCTATTGACTCTGTCGTAACCTAGTTGCCTGCTATTACGCAAATACGTATAATCTTGGCGTATACGCCAGCTATAAGCCCTTGATGGCGTATACGCCAAGATTCCAGGGTGTACCCCGGTAATAATGAACCTATCCCACCGCTCACAATGCATCTGGCGAACGTTTAGGTAGGTGTTAGAACTAAAGTACAATCAATGTAACCAACCGGGCGGAACCCAGAGGCCAAGGAGTTGACCTTGGCTTCAGAAACTGTTAAATGAGGTGACCTTGGCTTGAGAAACAGTACAATTGAGGTGAGTCTGGTGTGAGAAACAGTTCCAACATTAAAAAGTGTTCACGTCGGCTGAAGTCATTAAAGATACATGTCTCGATATATTCAGGACACAAGCAAACTCACTCATTCACTCACTCACTCACTCATAACAAGACGAGTGAGACGACGCACTCCCGTGGGATCAACACAAGAGTTCAGGTATATTTTTTAACCCAAATGTATATGCTATGTATATATACATAGCATATATATATGCTATTATATATGCTATGTATATATATATACATAGGGGTCAAAACTCGCTCTGGGGAACCCTGCCTCGAAGATTGTACAGGATGTGTGTGTAGTGTGTGTGTGTGTGTGTGTGTGTGTGTGTGTGTGTGTGTGTGTGTGTGTGTGTGTGTGTGTGTGTGTGTGTGTGTGTGTGTGTGTGTGTGTGTGTGTGTGTGTGTGTGTGTGTGGGAATGTGAGGTCGATACGTTGGGCTGGTTGGAATTATGTGTTGGGTGGTTATGGTGTTTGAGGTTCGTGTTGATCCGCAGCTGACTCATGCAACCCCCTAACCCCCCCCCCCCTCTCTCTCAACTCCTATGCACCCGACTCATGCACTCAAATGTGTGTGTGTGTGTGTGTGTGTGTGTGTGTGTGTGTGTGTGTGTGTGTGTGTGTGTGTGTGTGTGTGTGTGTGTGTGTGTGTGTGTGTTCACCTAGAGGTACTCACCTAAATTAACAAACTTGACAGGCTACCAAATATCAACCTTTTTCGATCCGTGTGATTAGTTCCTCCACCACCTTCGACACATATTACATTCCTTGGGACCCAAGAGCCGGAGCTTGACCGCCCCGCAAGCACCACTAGGCGAGCGAGCCCAACATTTTACGAGTCATTTCGGGCTTGTGGCTCCATCAATGTCCGTCTTCCTGTTTATATATACTACTTTTTTGTGTAACTATGTGCCCCATAGTACATATATTGTACTATGTAGCCCCATAGTACATATATTGACGTGCTAAGCAATTAGATAGTTGAATTTTGTACTATTCACCTTTTTTAACGAGTCCGAAAAAATGAAGCTAAAACACACATTTAAATATGCGTAAGGCCTAGTACAGCACATATATGTACTATGTTAAGCCTCATATAGCGTGTATTAGGCCTAGTATAGCACATATATGTACTATGTTAAGCCTCATATAGCGTGTATTAGGCCTAATATAGCACATATATGTACTATGTTGAGCCTCATATAGCGTGTATTAGGCCTAGTATAGCACATATATGTACTATGTTAATAAGCCTCATATAGCGTGTAGTAGGCCTAGTATAGCACATATATGTACCATATTAAGCCTCATATAGCGTGTATTAGGCCTAGTATAGCACATATATGTACTATGTTAAGCCTCATATAGCGTGTATTAGGCCTAGTATAGTACATATACGTACTATGTTAAGCCTCATAAAGCGTGTATTAGGCCTAGTATAGCACATATATGTATTATGTTAATAAGCCTCATATAGCGTGTATTAGGCCTAGTATAGCACATATACGTACTATGTTAAGCCTCATATAGCGTGTATTAGGCCTAGTATAGCACATATACGTACTATGTTAAGCCTCATATAGCGTGTATTAGGCCTAGTATAGCACATATACGTACTATGTTAAGCCTCATATAGCGTGTATTAGGCCTAAGAAGGTTAGGTTAATTTGTCTTTGCAACATAAATATCAAATATTTTCCCAGTTTGTCCATATTCAATAGTACCGATCTCTACTTTCTAATTTGCTTGTTACGTCGATATATGTACTATGGTCCTCGCCGTTACTGTAAGTACTACCAGAACAGGAGGAGTAGCTGCTTTTAACTTAGCTCACGTCTACTTTATCAATTTACGTTACGATTTTTTACGTCGTGATCATGTTCTTGTTTCTCCTCTACTCCAGTGTGGTCTAGTTTCCCCTTAGCATTTCGCTAATTGCTCAGGTCCCTCTGATCAGAGATGAAACTTGTTGCATTATATCTTTATGACTATTTCTAGTCTTGCCCCTTTTCATTTGGGGGATACCATGCCGGGCCCGCTTACTTGAACACACGTAAGGTTATGAGTAGATTGTTACGCGTAGATTGTAGTTACGCGTAGATTGTTACGCGTAGATTGTAGTTACGCGTAGATTGTTACGCGTAGATTGTAGTTACGCGTAGATTGTAGTTACGCATAGATTGTTACGCGTAGATTGTAGTTACGCATAGATTGTTACGCGTAGATTGTAGTTACGCATAGATTGTTATGCGTAGATTGTAGTTACGCTTGGAAAGAGCTCAGTTAATACGTTCCCGAAGATTAAAGGACACTGTTGAGGTTTTCTTGTGTGTGCTTCTGGGGAGAGAGAGTTGGTGTTATGTCTACTCTCAGTCCTCTCTCCTTTATTGACGGAGGAAGCCGTCTTCCCCCTTCCTTGCTTACCTACGAGAGAGTTGTCTCATTCCTCGTCCTCTCCTCCAACCCGTTCTCGCACTTGCTTATAGTCAATATTGGCTTATTTAATAAGTGCATATGTGACATACTAATTGATTGTGAATATTTTAGTTTACCTTGAAAAGCTTCATAGAAAACACCGACCTCACCTAACCTTCTTAGTATGTTAGGATAAGCATCTTATTGCTTCTTAATTACAATTATTACTTAACCTATACCATTGATAGGTTAAGTAATAATTGTAAATAAGAAGCAATAAGATGCTTATCTTAACATACTAAGAAGGTTAGGTGAGGTCGGTGTTTTCTATGAAGCTTTTCAAGGTAAACTAGAGTGTGAGCTCCTGAAACACTCTCCATGTATTAGTATTCCTCCTGATCCACCAAGCTGTTTCTCTAGCTTGGACAGCAGCAGCTTGTGTGTGTGTGGGGGGGGGGGGGGGGGGTAAGGGGCTGCTTTCGAACTGTTTTCAGACAACCGACGAAGTGTCCTCTCGCTCTCTCGTTTGATTACCGTTATTTTGTCGTAAAAAAATGAAATATATTTGTCGAGAAGGATTTTCCTTCGGTAAATCCATACTGGTGTTTGGAAGGCGAAAATCACCTGTTTCACGTGATGATAAAAACATGCACAGGAGGGGGGTTGGGGGGGGGGGGGAGTTTGTTAGTGATACCTGTCTGTAGTTCAGTCTTTCCCCTTTCTTATCTATATTTTAGCACAACAATAGCCGTTTTCCAACACTTTGGTAGCACACTCTTTTCCAGAAAGGAGTTGTATGTTATAGCACCTTGACTACGCAATGCTTCAGTTGCTGTAGTTCAGTTGCTTCAGTAGTTGCTTCAGCTGCTCCTTTGTACCAACGACGAGGTAGTGTCTGCGTGTGCGGTTTTCACCCCCATCCGGCTGTTCGGTAGCTCCCTTCTGGTGTCACTTTTATTCAGTGATCCAGGCACACAATGCACCTAAGAACGCAGATGTAGTTTCTGGACAGGACAGCAACAACCTCTTGAACCAAGTTATCATAAGCCGAGCCGAGTTATCATATACAAGAAAGAAAGAAGACAGGAACCGCTAAACTGCAGACCTGTGTCCTTATCTTGAGGTTATCTTGATATGATTTCGGGGCTTTTTAAGTGTCCCCGCGGCCCGGTCCTCGACCAGGCCTCCACCCCCCAGGAAGCAGCCCGTGACAGCTGACTAACACCCAGGTACCTATTTTACTGCTAGGTAACAGGGGGCATAGGGGTGAAAGAAACTCTGCCCATTGTTTCTCGCCGGCGCCTGGGATCGAACCCAGGACCACAGGATCACAAGTCCAGTGTGCTGTCCGTTCGGCCGACCCGCTCCCTTAACATGCATTCACAGCGAGATACTGAACGTACTCTTCACGCGATAACTCGAAGAGAACGTAAAACAAAATAACTTATCTCTAAGAACAGATAAGACGGTAGTTACTAGCCCAGCCTCATACTGTTGTTGTTGTTGTAGGGGTCAAAGAGGAGCCCGCTACGTTAGAAGCAACTGTTAGGGCAAGGATCATTTAGATTACAATACGAACGGTTAGTA